AAAAAACTATTCCTTTGTATTTGATCGAATACGCCTGTACATTATTGTGAAAATTGTTCCAAACTGAAGTTCCGATTTTAACTAAGTATTCATTTTGTTTCGTGTATGTATTTATGAAGTTCGATTTAACCTTCGTGTTTATGTGCAATCGCCGCGGGCCAATTAAAATTTGGGCCTGGCAGTGTTGTTCAGATTCCCGACACCAAGTTTCATCATAATCCGTAGATTAATATCAAAGATGTTACACACTGACCAACTGCCAGGCTTGTCCATTATACGTTATATTTTTGAACATCATGTAAATTGGCGCCCATATAATAAGCGTACTGCTTTAGTTATGATTGAAATATCTTGTTCTCAAAAGGTTTCTTAGTACATATAAAGTTACAGGCCTATTTTAGGATTTTAAAATAGAAGTCTAATATCTTAAACTGCTTTATTATACTCCTAAGAATTACAAAGTGACATTTGACTTACATAGACTTTTGTCACACTATGCAGCTGCCATCTAGCAGGAAGAATTGAAGTGATGTATGCCTGCTACTTCTTTTTCTCGCAGAAAGGGAACTACATAGCAGGTTATATATATTATTATTATCATTGTTATTATTATTTTCTTACAAAATATATTAATTATATTATTCTTATTTTATAACAAAGGGCAGTTTCGTTGTATTATCCTAACCTAAGGAAAGTGTGGGGACATGGGCCAAATTGATTAAACATTACTTTTCAGAAGAAAAAATAACTTAAAGACGTCTGTTCAGTATTTAATCATATCTTTGAATAAAATATATAGTACTTTAATGAGGTAACTCGATTTTTGTTTGATGATTTTAATAAGGAGAATTTTGTGATGCACTCAGCTTATCCAATTGTTTATGTAAATATCTTCGTAGCAGCACAGAATCGGGTTTACATGAACATGTTGCTGTCTTTAAGCATTGAACATAATTATGCCAACTGATGTGAAAGTAATTGATTCTTTGAACGATGAGAGGTACATTCAGTCGTCATTGATTATCAAAGACATAATCCTGATTTACACAAAATAAAAAATGAAGCGTGTTGTTGGATATGAACACTTCCATAATTTATTTTGTTGTATCCTTACGACCAGAAAACAGCTTAAAAATTCGTTGACAATAAGACACGTTGTTGTTAGAAAACAATAGGTTATTAAAAAAATATTGTCTTGGTGGTATGAAGTTAACTCTTAGTGTTAAAATATTTATGATGATGGATATTCTGACTTGTATCACCTTGTAGGGGTACTGTGAAATTCTCTGAAGTAGTTTTATGATAGAAGTTTTTAGAAAAGATGAATGCAGGTAAGAAATTAAGAGTAATGATTTGCTTGAATCATGTTTTGTGATGACGAGTATTTTCGACAATATTAGCCAGTATGAGTGTGGTTTTCTGAACTTCCGAAATAAAGATATCTAGTGAAAGGGCAAGTTTATGCCATTTGTTCACAGAAATATGTTGATACGAACGCCCCAAGACAGAACATTTAAAAACATACGTAAAAGAAGCCACGGCTCTGCATACACAAAGTGAATTATTTGTACATTGAAATTGATTGTTTACAGAGACCTATTTTCATCGTAATTATCGTTTATGTTGTCTTGTTTATGGCAGTTCAAAAGTGATAATCACTTATCCCTTAGGTCTAGAACCTCCTGTTGGCAATTACGCCCCTGTTGGGGATTCCACCTCTATTATAGTTCTCGTCGTTCTCCTCAGGGTGAGCCCTAATGTACTCGAGGGCCCTCAGGATAGCTTCAGGGATGGGTGGTGGCGTTGGCAGGTGGACTCCCTCAGCACGGAACCCATTCTCGTCAGCGACGTAGTTCAGCTTGACGGGATATCCCTCTGGGGATGTGTACGAGAATGCACCCTGTACCACCGCCGCCTCGTCCTGTTGCCCCAGGTTCTTGATCGACCCCTGCTCTTGCGCTGTTATTCCATTTTCTGTCTCGTAGCTAAAAGACGAACGACAATTTATATATTAAATTTTTTGTCCGTCTAATCACAATAATTCTTATTAAATATTAAAATATTACAATAATTAACATTTAAAATATTAAATGATGTTCTTTATCGAAATATTCGATTTACATTAGACCATCATTTTTCATGTTTCACGACATGTTTCAGTTCCTAAAAGAACCATCCTCAGGTGTATATAATTATATAAAGCTTCAAAACGATAAATAATTCAAATACAATTTTCATACATTATGCTGGCGTACATTTTTATCAGATTTTTACCAGATGTCAAACGATGTTCTTTTTCAGATTTTTAATAACACACTCGATGTTGTTCTGTATATATCTCAAATCCTATACACGTTTTAGATCTTAATAGGATCAGTAAAGTCTATTGTATATCGCGATGCTCTTGTAGAAAAATAGATTTTTTTTCATCATATCGATCATAGTTGCTTCTGTGTGAACTTTTAATTTTGTACGCCCTTCTGTACGTATCCATTCCGTTTCTCACAGGCTCAGGGAAACACGTTATAATTTGTTCATTATTATTGTATTGTTATTATCGTTTTATCCTTCTTGGCATTGTTTTAATAGGGATTCTCCAAATCAATTCCTGTCCGTATTGTATGAATGACGGTAAACATATTTAATGCGAAATTCTTACACTAGATGCCTCTCTAAAGATCTGATTAGTGTCGCCATCTACACAATTCTTTTCGCATCATCTCGGTTTTAGTTGAATGTCAAGGTTTGTTGAAGTGGAGGGGTGAAGCGATAACGTGCTTATTGCAGTGGCTCGTGAATCCTTGAAGTTATGGGATATACTTGAGTAACACAATGTTATTTTTGGGCAAGCGTTGTTTCAAAATTACTTTATTAAATTTATTGAAGCTATGATGTGAGTGACAGTGCTTTTTATGCCTCGGTTACAAATGTATTTGACTGGAGTCTCTTTCTTTTGAATAGATGAGATGTATTGGTGGATAAATGTTTTGTTTCCGAGCAGAAGGGAAATGGTTTGTTATTACAGTGATAATGAGGCATGGACAGACAACCTTTAAGTACCCTTGGGCCGGATCTAATGTTCTGATCATGGCCGCGGGCCATGGTATTACATATCAAGTAAGTTAGTACCAGTAGTTAAAAAATATTAAGTACGAATTCGAGGTTAGAACAGCTTACGATAGACCGGCTGTTGTAAATAATTAATGCAATTACTGGTGATGTTATATACGTGTTTAAAATCTTAGGCGTAAATAATGCAAGCAAGGAAACAAAACTGGTAATATGTGTCGCTGCTGGCAATATTTTCCCTACGGCTGTACAGAGTTCTGCCTCAGGGTTCACTACATGACCGAAACAAAACCTGATTCATTACTCCTCAGTTATGAATGGCGTGATCTAGGGTAGGCCTTTGTTTAAAACACGCATCATTCTAGATGTTTCCTCCATCCGACGTGTCAGTGGCAGACTTTATACAGCAGTTGCTGTTCGGATGTAATCTCGCTAATGCCATTCCAAAGCCGAACGTAGGCGCATGTTTCGAATGCAGGATTAATAGACAGAAGCTTATGTGTTCTTTTCCAAATTCCAACATCAATTCCTCTATTGAAATTTTGAAATAAAAGTGCTAGCCAGTATAACAGTCGATAGGCTTAAGACGAGAGTTGAGTAATTTCCCGAAATGAAGGTTTTACTTAACATAAGTCAACCTGAGACAGTGAATAATGACCAGCATAGTTAGGTACATCTTCACGTCGTGAAAGAGCAATTTTGGATAACATTGCATGATGATTGGCGCTGTGTTGTCCCGGTCGACAGTCGATCACTCAGTTTACTCTTTCTAACGTACAAAATTGTTTTGCGAGCACGAACAGCCAGTCCAGAAACCGCACTGTGTTATGTCTAGCAGCTGCTCGCCCTGTCCTCGTGGTACCTGAATTTCTTTAAAATTAGGACATGCCTCACGAACGTGGAGGTCATTTGTGAGTCACCTGTACTGATAGGAACCATCGTGCTGAAGGTCCAGTGCTTGCCGCAAGATGGCAATGTTTGGTACTCGTGAGCCGGGCTGGACTTTACCCTGTGGAGCTGCTATTGCTGTTCCTATTACTGCCAAGATCGCTACCTAAAACATGGAATTCAGTTAGCAAATATTGGCGCACGTAGCACGTTTTAATATCTGGAACTTAAATCTGTTGCCCGGGTCCCAGTATGTCAGCCTTGCGGGACGAGGTGGGAAAGAGAGAAGATGCATTAATGAAACGCGTGATGTATTTATGTGTGTGTTGGTGGTACGATCAAAAGTAAGCGAAACTTTAACGTCCGTTGGAAAATGGCTGCTACAGCCAACTTGTCATCCGTCTCTTTGGGTACAGGAATGTCTTACTATGAATACTGGTATTTCTGTGGTCCTTCCTTTTCCCAGACCTTGACCGTGGTGGATACTACTAGTTGTTCCCAGAAATGAAAACTCCATTGGACGGATGAAG